TATGCAAACAATATTGTCCAATACATTATAATATATTATAAAATGATATGTAATCATCCAAACAAGTTGTAGATAAACATATTACACAAAGCTATGTTATACATCCACGAAGGGGTACCAAAGGTCTCGAGTATTCGAGCCAGAGAACCTTTTGGTAGGGAGCAATTATTGTACTTCCCTACTGGTTCTTCACAACTCGAACTCGGACTAGTCAGATCAGTAGATTTTATACCTAATGTTTTTGGAAATTAAAAAAATACAATTACATATATAGATAAATTTACACTTAATTATACTAGTGTAAAACCCCATTTGGTAGCAAATTCAACAAGCACATCCATCTCATCATTAACTATAAGACCATCATTATTTTTATCAGCATGGTGCATTGCTTGATAAGCTCTCAAACCACAAAACCATAACCCTAAATCTTTGAAAGCAACCTTCAATTCTTGCTTGTTCAATTTTCCATCGCCTGATTTATCGTATTTTTTTAGAAGACACTTTAGTTTGTCCTCAGAGAGCGGTTTTTCGAGGTTCTTGAATGATTGCATGTTTGATATTGTGATTGCTAATGTATGTAAAGTTTTGTTTTGAGATGATTTGTGTTGCAATATAATTTCTAGGGGTATTTATAATAGGGTTTTTAAAAAAAAGATGAATTAATAATGTTCAATAATAGTGGAGTGTGTTGTTTCCAAGAATTGGATTCTTGATTTGAAATAGAGTACTAAAGGATTTATCTTTATCTATGGATAATAATAGAATATAATCTAGTTCTTCTTGTCTAGACTCTTGAGTAACTTTTACTTTACCAGTTATATGATTATATCCATATATTATTGTTATATACTCCTTTTTCCCAATTTATGTGACTTACTTTCATTTTTAGTCAGTTACACATTTATATATTAAGTAACAATTTAACTATAAAATGTCTATTTTACCCTTTAATGAAATGATTTACTCCACACAAATTTCTATCATTCATTTTGGACCACATGTTTTAAAAGTCTTTCTTACTTTCTTAAACTTCGTGCCGAGTGAAACTACCTCACATAAAATGGGACGAAGGGAGTAATATATAATATATATAAAAAAGAAGAGAGAATAACATTTTTGGTGCTGAGGTTATTGATTATTTCTAATTATTTTATGGTAAGAGAGATATAGAATTTAAGATTATAATTTAGCAAAATATGTATGATGTAATTACTAGTAATGAAAGAAAAATATTAGAAGTAATATTAGTATAGTTTAATAGCAGTTTGGTGCACTAAAGTTTTCGCTATGTGCATTGCAGAGGTTCGATCTTAAAGATCTATTGTACGTAGATTTACTTTGCATTTCTACCAAAAGTTATTTTCAAGACTTGAACCATAACTATATAAAAGTCATAATTCATAATACTATATCATTAAAAAAAAAAGTGTGATAAGAATCCTACAACAGTTGAAATTATGAAAAATTTGTTAAATTATTCTTGACGCAAGCTACTAATCGTCATTTTTTATGACGTCAGTTTAATTAAATTAAAATTATTTACGATGACAAGAAATCGTTGCAATAAATCTATTATAATATAATACATGAATTCTTAATTTACTGATGTATTTTTTTTCCATACTTGCTTTTGTTATATTTTACCTATATCGAGAGTCTATTGAAAATAATATATAATCAGATCTCTATCTTTAAAAGATAAAAGTAAAAGGTAACGATAAAATTGCGTACAGATCAATCATGAATCTCTCGAAATTTCACTTATGTGATATAATGAATATGTTATTGTTGTTGTGTTCCAACTGCAAGTATAAAAAAAAAAAATTAAAAATCTATGATATTTTTTTTCATTATTTTGTGCCTTGATTCTTTTTTTTATTATTTAATATTGTATCCATCAGTTTCAACTTTTGAAGATTCTCATCAACAGTATTTGAACGAATATATAAATAATTTCTTTTTACCTTTTGATAAGGCAGGGAGCTGTGCCTATAGTGGATATATATATTCCTTTATTAACAAGCCTATAGATCAGATATTTTTTTATGATATAAACTTCACATTTTATATTATTTTATTAGGTTAAATGTATTTTTTTTTAATTCAATACCTTTTTGCCTTTAATTTTTTTTAAAAGTTCTTGTACATGTGATATTGAATCTCGAGATGGTTTGGGTGATACCTATGTCTCACTTTATGAATGTTTTGAATTATTTTAGGGAAAATTACGTACCTTATTAGACATACATTCATATCATATATATTAATTCTAACTATATTTTTATATAATTATGTATTTTATCATTAATTAAGAATTTTCTATCATATGTTGAGAAAGATATACATAGATATACATGTGTTTTTGCTACTAGATATACTAAAATAGGGAGAGATGCGAGTGAAATAATCATGTATCGTAGATAATACACACTAGATACATATATATGTATGTATCCGGTGTGTGACACATGTATCTGGGATACCACATACATATATAGGAGAGTGGCGAGCGAAATGAGAAAGAGGTGAGCGAGATTTGTTATGTATTCAAGATACATGCAAATTCACTTGGATATAATGTATCTAGAATAACATTATGAATCTAGATTTTTGGATCATGACATTAACAAAATAAAGGTGAATATTACTTAACTATGACTAGTTGTTTCCTAGCTAGTGATTTTGTTTACTTCTTCCTTAGTCTTTTTTCTTAATTAGGTCTCTCCTCCTTTAATTTCATAAAAAAAAAAAAAAACTTCTATAAAACTAAATCCCCTTTACATGTTGAATCACTTGAAAGTGAGAAAATGCATTTAATATTAAATGTTGCTAAGGTTTTGTGGGTATTGTCTAAAAGATTGCTTATGCTGGCCTTCTTCTCCATCCATCAACTTATGTTTATTGCGAAAATGCAACATCGATCACTTGTTACATGTTCATTGCGTAAATGTCATCATAAGATCTGTAAAAGAGCTTATAAACTGATCAAACTAACTTGTGTGTACTGCCGCATTATGACTTCTCAACTTATAAACATGAATTTTTTTTACTACTTCATGCAGTAGGAAAAATCGCCGCCTTATGACTTTTCAACTTATAAACATGAAACTTTTTTACGGCAAAAAAATCGCGTTCGGAAAAAAACATAAAATCGCGCCAGGTAGGGGTCGAACCTACGACTTTCTGCTTAGGAAACAGACGCTCTATCCACTGAGCTACAGGCGCTTCATGTAAAATTTTGTGTATTGTAATTAAATATTTCTAAGCATAGAATAATGACCTTACTTCTTCATTTTTCTAAGTACTACTAGTAATTTTGTAAGAAAAATATTAAAGTAAGAATTTTTCACATCAATGTTTATATTTTTAATTCTTGAAAGCTAGAAAAGTGATTACCAAAGATTTATAACCTTTTATGATAATTACCTTATCAACGATCATCTAATTGTGTAAATAGTTTTTGTGTATAGAACTTTAAAAGCACTATCATATATATAACAATTCGAGAAGCCTACACAACAATTCTTCATTCTTCTGAAGACTATGTATGTGGTGCGCTTGCTCTAGTTCAAAGTCTTTTCAAAATAGGAACCATATACGACCTTATTCTCTTTTTGGGCACGAGTATCTCCGCCCCTAAACAAAAGGTCCTCACTCGAGGTGGCTAAAACTTCGGTTCATAGAGAGGATTCGAAATCCCAGGGCCAGAAAGAATACATATAATGAGTACAACTATATATAGCAAGTTCAGATTATGGCAACTCATGGACTATGACAAGATTATTTTTGTCGATTCATCGTACCGTCAATTTTCTCTTTCGTAAGCAGAGAGGATCTAGACTAGACACAATGAATTCAACATAACCTAATGTGTCTAGCTCAAACTATATGTACGTGTAAAAAAAATTATGAATTCTAAATTTTAAATTGGTCATTGCAAACAAAAGTGTTAAATAAACGGATTAGATTGAATTTAGACACATCAAAAAGAGTTGACTTAACAACTAAAAATTTTAATCTTATTGACTATAAAACAATCACAATTATAAATGAATTTATAATTATGGTAGAACGGTACACCCCTAAAATTTATTGGGAGCACAGAAACATAGTTATGAATTAAAAAAAATAATAAGGTTACTATTTTCCAAAATAGTCATATTACCCTTTGAATTATTATCTCATGAATCATGATCACCACCCATTTTCTTCCAGCACATTTGGACCGTACACTCAATAAAATCACAAAACAAATTAATAAAAAAATTGAGTTAATTTTGATCATAGAAATTGCCATGTGTGTTATATTTTTATTTATTAAGAAATTCCAAGTTACCCCTACAACCACAAAAGATTTTAACGGAGAGAAGTAAGTATTCTTTTATTTTTAATAAAAAAAATTGAAATAACAAATAAATATATATCTAATCTTAATTAGAGATTTGGATGTAAATTCACACTTTATTTTTTAAAGTAGGACCTTTCAATATGAATTCCGATGAGTCAGACTCTAAAACGGAAAAACAAAAAATTACCTTACATATTTATTAGGTCAAGTGTAATATTTTGAGCCATTAATTATATTTATCTAACTGTTAACGGTTTAGCATTCTTATCAGAAAAAATGAAAACAGAGATTATTGTTTTGTTTATATTGAAGAAAACAGAAAGACAAAAACTGAAAAGAAAAAAAAAATCACAAACAAAGAGAAAGAAGAAAAAGACAAAGGCGAGCTGATAAACTCGCTTTTTTTCTTATTCTTCTTTTTCATATCCTCATTTTCAATCCAAATTTATTTATTTATTTATTTGATTCATTCATAAAAACATAAAAAATTATCTCAAATTTTGTAATTTATTATATATATAGGTAAGCTCTACGCCATTTTTATTGTTTTTTTTTTTAATTCTTTCAACATCTTTTGATCTAATTTGTGTGTTTTTTTTTTTTTTTGGTTTTTGCAGTTAATTTTGGACCAAAAAATTTATACTTTTCAATTATTTTTATATTTTTTTGAGGATATTCAAATAGCTTTCTGGTATGTTCCTTTTTTGCTCTGTTTTTCTTCTTTCTGTTCTTGTTTTTAATTTCAACAGTTTTTCATCAAAATGTGGGGGTGGGTGGGTTGGTGGGTAAGATCCAGGAATTGAGAGTCATTATTATGTCTTGAATTCTTATTTTAGGTTCGAGTTGTGGAAATAGAATGTAGGATAAAGGAGATTATAAGTTATAATTAATTGTCCCTTGTGTTTTTTTTTTTTGTGGATCTCGTGTATAGTGGGAGCTTAGTGTATCGAGCTGGGCTGCTCTGTTGCAAGTTTTATGTGCTATTATGTGATTTATGATTATGAGAGTTGTAATTTATTGATCTCATGAACATGCAATATTATATCCTTGTGGTTTGATTATTTTCGAATTTTGTGTATAACGGGAGTTTGGTGTACCGGGTTGCGTTTTGCCTGTTTTATGTTCTGTTATGTGCTTTATGATATGAAACTTGTAATTTTTTAATATCATAAACGTACAATTTTATGAAGGGTAAGATTGCGTACAATGTACCTTTGTGGTTTGATTATTTCTCGAATTTCGTCTGTAGCAAAAGCTTAGTGCACCACTAAACCTATTTTATGTTCCATTATGTGATTTATGATATGAAACTTGTAATTTACTAATCCCATAAACTTGCAATTTTATGAAGGGTAATACTATGTACAATACATTCTTGTAATTTGATTATTTTTTAGATTTCGTGCATAGCGAGAGCTTAGTATACCGAGTTGCCCTTTTTGCCCTGTTTTATGTTCCATTATGTGTTTTATGATATGAAAGTTGTGATCATTTTGTTCATTTTTATGTCCTTCATTGGGCAGAGCTAGAGCTTTGCCTACGAATTCGATAGAACCTATTAACTTAACATGTATAAATAAACTATTAAGAACCTAGTAAGTTAGCGTCTTTTTCTAGAATTCAAAACCCATAAACTCAAATTCCGCTTCTTACTTTGAACCTCATTCTTCACTTTAAAGTTATGCCATTCTTAATTCCTAACTTTTTCTATGATTAATTTGTTTCAAGGTCTTTACTTGGTCATCCTTATTTTCTTAACTGGAAATGGAAGATGTTAAAGATCTGAAGCAACACGCTCCGGAGTCCTCTCCTACACCTGTTGTTGTTGTTTCCTCTCCGGACGAGGATCAATCACTTAGTGCAACTCAAACCAGCCAAAATGCGGATGAAAAAGCAAACTCCGAGAACCAGCAGCTAAACGTGGATGCTTCGGAGCATGTAGAAGAGGCTACTCAAAGCTCGTTGTTGGAGAAGAGTGAGACTCATCCAACAGGAGCTTCTAGTACACCTATGGTTGATCAGGAAGACTCGTCTCAATCTGTACATAGTCCTAAGCCATCGGAGCCTCCTATCGATAAAAATTCAACAGCTTTATCCGAAACTAGTCCATCCTTTCTATCAAATGAAAAACCAAGTGATTCCAAAGAGGAAGAACATATTCAATCTAATCATTCAGGAGAAGATCAAGCAAGTAATAATTCTCCTAGTAGTACCAAAAGTGCTGATGATTCGTGTTCTACTTCCCACGTCCAAGAGACGAAACCTGGAAATAATAGTCATGTAGAGTCATCGGATAACATTGACAAGGCTCCCACTCTCAGAATCAAGATCCCAGGGCCTACTGCTCAGTCTAAGCAGCCTGAGAACGTTGACGTAAACAGAGTTAATATCGATACTGCAGCACCAATCCAATCTGTGAAACAGGCAGTTTCAAAGTTTGGAGGGATTGTTGACTGGAAGGCTCATAGACAACAGACAGTAGAGGTATTCTCCAACACAATGGTCAAAAATACACCTAAAGTATCCCCTTTTTTCGAGTTTCATGAACTATCACCAACTATTTACCAAAACACACCTCAACTATCAGTTGTTTCCTTTTGCTACTTGAAATATCGCCATCATTCTAATAGGAAAAGGGAACAATTGATAGTTGAGCTGTGTTTTGATAAATAGTTTGTAATAGTTCAAATAGGAAACTCGCAAACCTGATAGTTCAGGTATGAAACTCGAAAAACTGAGGTACTTTAGGTGTGTTTTTGACCTTTCACTCTCTAGAATAAGCACTTTTTTCTTCTCAGAAGCTTGGCCTAACAGGCTATTTCATGTTATTTTCTTGACTTTAGAAGTTCGTTTTTTTTTTCTTCTTTGGTTGTGCAGAGACGGAATCTTATCGAGCAAGAACTAACAAAAGTGCAAGAGGAGATCCCATTGTATAAGAAACAATGTCAGGATGCAGAAGATGCAAAAGTGTTAGTTTTGAAAGAACTAGATAGCACTAAGAGACTCATAGAAGAGTTAAAGCTCAATCTAGAGAGAGCACAAACAGAAGAGCAACAAGCAAGACAGGATTCGGAACTTGCCACGCTCAGGGTCGAAGAGATGGAGCGGGGTATTGCTGATGACTCTAGTATTGCAGCTAAAGCACAGCTTGAAGTTGCCAGAGCTAGGCTTGAAGCTGCAGTTTCAGAGCTAAAATCTGTTAACTCCGAATTAGATGTTCTCCGTAAGGATTATGATTTATTGGTATCCGAAAAAGATGTTGCTGTGGAAAAAGCAGAAGAAGCTGTTTCGGTATCAAATGAAGTTGAGAAGACAGTTGAGGATTTGACTATTGAGCTCATTACTTCAAAGGATGCTTTGGAGGCTGCACATGCTGCACATCTAGAGGCCGAGGAACATAGAGTCGGAGCAGCTATGGCAAGAGAGCAAGATACTCTAAACTGGGAGAACGAACTGAAGCAGGCGGAAGAAGAGCTTGAAAGGCTAAACCATCAAATTCTGTCTGCAAAGGATCATAAAGCAAAATTAGATACTGCTTCATCTTTGTTACAAGATCTCAACACTGAGTTAGCAGCTTACATGGAATCAAAGTTGAAACAGGAGGCTGATGAAGAAGGGAACATGAAAGGCGAGCAATTAGAGACGGATAAAAGAAGTCATCATGAGATACAGGCAGTTGTGGCATCAGCTAAGAGGGAACTCGAAGAAGTGAAACTCAACATTGGGAAAGCAACAGCTGAAGTAGAATGCCTGAAAGTAGCAGCAGTTGCATTAAAGGCAGAACTGGAAAAGGAAAAATCAGAACTAGCTTCCATACAACAGAGAGAAGGAATGGCAGCAATTGCCATTACATCTCTTGAAGCTGAGTTGAACCGAACAAAGTCAGAGATTTCCCTTTTGCAGATAAAGGAAAAAGAAGCAAGAGAAAAGATGGTGGAGCTGCCGAAGCAACTGCAAGAGGCAGCACAAGAGGCCGATCGTGCAAAGTTACTCACTCAAACAGTTCGGGAAGAGCTGAGGAAGGCAAAGGAAGAGGCGGAGCAAGCAAAGGCAGCATCTAGCACCGTGGAAAGTAGACTGCTTGCAGTAAAAAAAGAGATAGAGGCTGCAAAAGCTTCAGAGAAGTTGGCCATAGCGGCTATCAGTGCTCTACAAGAGAGTGAATCAACCGAAAGCACAACGGATGAGACAACTGGAGTAACACTTTCTTTAGAGGAGTATTATGAACTTAGCAAGCAGGCCCATGAGGCAGAGAAACAAGCTAATACCAGGGTGTCTGCTGCTATGTCCCAAATAGAAGTAGCCAAGGAATCAGAGTTGAGTAGTCTTAACAAGCTCGAGGAGGTTAATCTTGCGATGACTGAAAAGAAGGAAGCACTAGAAATCGCACTGCAAAAGGCCGAGAAAGCCAAAGAAGGAAAATTGGCAGCAGAGCAAGAGCTGAGGAAATGGAGAGCGGAGCATGAGAAAAGACGGAAATCTGGTAAATCTGTTACCCCGGTAAACAAAACAATGAGCTCAAAAACGGGCTTTGAGGAGTATAAAGAATCAAAAGCTTCTGAGGCTGCAGTACCTCATCAAACCTTAAATCCAAAAGAAAATGTACAAACAAAGAGTGAAACCGATTCATCTCAAGAAGTGAAGGTCACAAAGAAAAAGAAGAAGTCCTTCTTCCCACGCGTCTTAATGTTTCTGGGCAGAAAGAAAGCACAGGCCAAGGCAAGATGATGATCTCTGCTCCATTTTTCTTGGTTTGAGAAGGGTAAATTCTTGTAGAATATTTATGTATATGCTAAGTTGTTTATTGTACAGTACTAAAGTAATTCTCACTTTCTGGATGACAGATTATAGAGGGCAATAAGTTTGTCATAGGTTTGGCTCTGTCAGTAAGCCTTTGCCTATTAAAGTTGTTGACGGCTTCAAATGTGTACTCCTGCTAGTTCTGCATAAAAGCTGGCAGCAATTCAAAACTTTGGCCTCGTGAAGATATGACTTTCCTTGTGTTTCATGTTCGTATGGGTTATATAATGCAACAACACATCAATTTTCCTATCACTTGGCATACCATTTCAATGCTAATCGCCTCACAGTCTGAGTTCTATGTTCTTTACTATCCTAATACTTTTGCTTGTTTTGTAATAGTTTCATTCATTTTATTGCATATAGTCCTGATAAATTGTTGTAACGAATCATGTATTCTGTAGAAGATACCTTTTTAATTTAATGTATTTATGCTGAACCTTACTTTCTGTAGTTTTAAAATCATTCTAAGATCTCCTGGCCTTCAATCTTTCTATGTTGAAACCATATGATTACCATTCATTGTTACATATGCTATGCCTATTATTTACCTCAAATGAACATAATCTCTGCTACTTCTTCTAGTATAAACCAGTAGAAGTTTATCTCGCGCACAAGGGGTGATGGCAAATCATGCTACTTTTACCTCTCAGTCCATTTCTCATGTGCGCAAGCTTAATCCCTTTTAGTAGCTCTTTACAAGACCTATAAAGGATGAGTCCTTTTGAGATACTATTCACAGCATTAACCAAAGTATATTTGAAGCAAAACTGATATTTCCCATAAATGTTTCCTGATTGAATTGAGCCATGTATATGTTTTGCTGTACATTTACCATTACATGGTTAAGGCCAGAGAGGATAAAAGTGAAACTCAAAAAAATATGAGAAATGTTGACTGTTTATTCCCCTTATATACACAAGCAATTTGTGCTTCTTGTCCTCAGTAGAAAGGACATTCAAAGGGGACTCCAAATTCAGCTGTTCTGCTTTTGGTTGTCCTACTTTGTTGTGTCTTGCAAGTCTACACGACCTGTCGTTAAAAAAAGCACAGGAAGAATCAGCAGCTTTTAGCCAAGGAAGCTGAGAAACTTGTATAGAACAGAAGTAACATCATATGGTTTAGCAGCATTCATCGATATCTCATGATTCGAGTTTCAACTGGTGCATGTTAAATCATGTAAAGTTATCGTACCAAATAATGATACTAACGATGGAGGAGGCTTTGATCCATTTGAACTCGCGTCTATCCCTGCATGATGAAGAAGTGCCTTTGAAAAATTAGCAGTATATCAACAGTGTATAGACAGTGTTACTCATGGAAAAGCTTTACATTAGTGGCAAAAGGGTCTAGAAATCTAAGTATGGGAACAATTTGGCTACTTTCTTCAACCTTTGAGATTTTTTCACGATAACTGAGCAAATCTGATGCTGATTCTAACACTACATATGAACGTAAACGCTCTGATACCATGAGAAAAATAGGTTGGAGAGAAAATCGACAAAGTTTGAAAACATGTTCAAGCAATGTCTTTCGATCCTTGTGAATTGTAGAGATAACAATGACTTATTCACAACAATTCCAAAAGATACAATTCAAGGTAGTAGCTTTGTGAAAGTACTAGCACACACCTGAAGTTCCAGCTGATTTAAGGATGTCTGATTTCTTGTAAGTATATCCAATAAAATTGGCATCTTTTGATGTTAACATCTACACGTTGAAATCGACATGTTAGGAACCAGTCCAAAAAATACTGAAGAGGGAGCCAAAGTCTTTGTAAATTCTCAAATAAAGAAACATGCACAAGATGATCACTATTATGTTCATACAGTTGGACCTCTTTCTAACAATCATCTTCAATAACAACATTTCACTGTAACAGACTTTCATATTATGTTACTATATTATATGTTATCTATAACTACTTCTTGCTATTGCAGCCAAAAAGTATCTGGACAAACAATGTCGTTATAGAGAGGTTTAACTGTACTTACATTCTAACATTGAGTTTTTGTTTTTTTTAGGGGACGGAGTAATGCATTGTGAACTTGTAACCATTACCTTTCGCCAGGGTCCTACTCTTGGTGTTGCTGATTGTGTACCTTCTACCTATAAGTGAAACAAAGTTAGCATATGTAAAGAAAAAATAGGTTGCTTTAAGGAAAATCTCACATAAACTACATGGATCAATGTGGAGAACAGAAGGATTATGGAAGTGAAATGCAAGAGAATGATGACTTTATAAGAAGACGAAAGGGAGATATCTATTGATACTGCTCGGAAATAGCCAAGATTCAACAGAGCAAGTTCATAAATGATGGGTGAATTAGTCGAATTGCAGGTAGAAGTTACAAAAGTAACGAAAAGGTGGTTGGTATCTTCATGATTTTCGAAAATGTCACACTCATCATGAGGCAAAAGGATGACTTCTGACTGGTCTCATTGTCATGAACTGTAATTTACAACGACTACATCCTCCCTAGAAAGTGAAATGAATACAGTAAGGGTTCGATAAGCAAGAATACTCACTTCAGGGAACTTCTCAAAATTCTGAGTGTCTAATTCTCCTGTAACAATGGGTTTGTAGGCAGCTTCCATTTCGTAAAGTGCATCCCACTTAGTTCCTTCGAACCAAGGATGAGCCTAGAAACATATTCACACATTCAGAGGAAGAAAACCACAAAAATAGAGACGTCGTGACAGCATACTAACTTGTACCAGATCTTTGAAAAAAGGAACATTTTCCATTTTTAATTTTCTGAAGACTGTGTCTTCACAGTTAGTTGGCATTAGTTCATCTCTTTCGCGGTTATTTACCTTTATTTCTTCCACTCCTCTAGTCCCCAACCTTGATTCAACATCACACAACAAACGACATATCAGATCCTTAGCCTCATCTGATACTTTTGGTTCTTCCGGGAACTTCAAGCATGCTCTCCAATTGATAATCTGATACATAAAAAGAAAGATAACACATCATACAAAGATGAAGGATACTTGTAAATGCTAACAGGATGCTGAGCACAAGTTTGGAACTCATTCCTCTTGCCCGAAAAATGTTCAAAGTATTCAGAAGATCATTCTAGAGTCGTTATGTGTGGAAGGAACTATCTTATGTTTACCATCAAATAAATATTGAAGTACCTTTCGACATGTGAGTCTTGGATCTTCTGAGCAGAAGGGAGGATAACCTACGAGCATCTCATACAAGATTGCTCCCAATGACCACCAATCACATTCCATTCCATATCCTTTTTTCAACAAAACTTCTGGTGCCATGTAATCAAGAGTACCTACAGTAGAATACGCCTACAAAAGAGTTTCACTGATAAGTTTATTCAATCATGGCATACTCAATCGACAAGAAAACTAAATAGAAGAACATGGAATACAAGTACATACCAGGGCACGACGATTTCTTTTCCATTGTTGTAATTGTTCTTTTGGCATTAACCATGGAGCTCTATCACTATCAGCAGTCTCACTCAAGGACTCCTGACTTGTCAAATCTTCAGCTTCCAACAGCGATGAATATTTACTTTCCAGTGGTTTACATAAACCAAAATCAGAAAGCTTTAAGTGTCCATTTTTGTCCAATATAAGGTTATCAGGTTTAATGTCCCTGAAAACAGAATAAGTCCTGAATCAGCTGCAATGTGAAGAAATTGCAGACTAAGCCTGTACATGTTCGCGTACACGTAACTATAATGACATATAATATAGCATCAAAAGCATGGCAACAGAAATGATAATGTCAATTGATGCATTGTGCAGATACTACCTGTGCACATAATTGTGCTGATGAATAGAATGAATTGCTAATATACTTTCTGCCATATAGAACTGCGCGACATCTTCAGAAAGAATGTCTTCTCTCATCAATAAGGTCATAATGTCACCACCAGGTAAATATTCCATGATAAGGTATAAGAAATCTGAATCTTGGAAAGAATAGAAGAGTTTCACTATGCATCGACTATCTACCTCCACGAGCAAATTCCTCTCGGATCTAACATGCTCAACCTGAAAGAACCAGAAGAAGTTCATGTATATCAGCATACTTGGACTGATGATCAGAATTGCAAATAGACTTATATGAACATTTCATAAGAATGTTATTTCGCTGTATCATCAACGTTTACCTGTCCTCGGCTAAGCATCTCTGATTTCTTCAACTTTTTCATGGCAAAAACATCACCAGTACTTTTAAATCGACACAGTCTGACCTGTGTTAATAAATTTACATCATGAAAACATGTATTACAGAAAACAATTCTATGAAATAGAGTTATAAAAAGACAATGTATGTACCTCTCCAAATGCGCCTTTACCAATGACTGTTAACAGTTCAAAGTCATCAATTCCAACTTTATGCCTCTGCAATCTCATAAACTCAGTCTCCCTCTTCTCCAAATTCCTCAGCATCTTCTCTTGCTCATCATCTGGTATCTGTGCTTCTTGTGCCTTCCTCTGCAACGTTCTTCGCCTGAAAATCACAAACATAACAGAAAACAATTAAAAAGACAAGAAGTACTACAACAACATACCCTATGTAATCCCACAAGTGAAGTCTAGGGAGGGTAGACAAGATAGAGAGGTTGATTTCTGATAGACCCTTGGCTTTAAAAAGGCATTTTCAAACAGTTTGAAAAAGGAGAATACAGATATAAGAGCAGTAACAACAACGAAATAATAAAGAATAGTAACAACAACGAAATAAGTACAACAAGTTCTCTACATTGCCAACATATATATAAATCTAATCAATTCACAATGAATCCTCACAATATTACATTAAAAAAAGAACCTTTCTTTGCGATCTTGCAAGCCTTGAAGATGATTCTTGTAATGATTCTCAATGATCTTCTTAGCAGCAGCTGCTTTTTGTCGAGTAACCGATGATGAAACAGAGAACTCTGGCTCCATTGAATTGAACACTTGATCAGCTCCTTCCATTTGATCCAAACTAAAACTTCCCAGATCCCAAAATTGAATTAAAAAAACAAAAAATATATAAAGGGTGTCTTGTTTAACAACAAAAAAAAGAAAAAGATTCAAGATTTGAAGTCAGCTGGTTTATAGTATCAGTAAATTCAGTTAACAAAAGACTATATTTGTCTGTTTCTTAGTATATAACATAAGAAGTAAAATGAAAGAAGAAGAGAATCTTGAAAGTGAGTGAAGTTGGAAGCAAATTGAAGTTAAAAAAAAAGGAGAAAGTTGGTGTTGTCAGTGTCAACAGAGCCTGCAAAATCTTGACAGTTTTGGTGGGCTGTCAACTGGCAATAGTACAGATGAATTAGCTGTATTGGCATATGAGATTTGCTGAGAATGGAGTGATAGTGA